GTCTCGGTAATTTCTGACTAAATACAACATGACAAAATGGATTTATACTAGGCATTCCTAAATTAAATCAAGCAACAGTTAGCGTCAGATTCCAGTTTCAGAATTTAATTAGTCGAACTCGGGATCATTAGCTAGAAGACTCTCCGTGTGAAGAAATTTAATCTCTTATCATCCCTATGCCTGTCTAAAAATATATCGACTAAAATGTGTGAAAGAACAATTTTATCTGTTATTTAGTAGACGCGAAACTTTGTCTTTTATCTTAAGGGAAGGCCATAGGTTGAGGGTGTTTAAGAATAGATTGTTGAGCAGGCTATTTGGACCAATGAGGGAGGGGATGACAGAAAACCGGAAGAAGTTGGATAATAAAGAGCCTCATAACATGTACTATCGATATCCACCAAATAGGCCCTTTGTCAGGATGCTGTTAATAAAATCAAGAAAGATGAGATGGAATCATATTGCACACACGAGAGAGATGAATGCACATAAAATTGTAGTAATTAAAACTGGAGTGACCATGTAGGTAGGCTAGGCCAAAATGGTGGGATAATATTAAAATGCATCCGAAAAGAACTAGGGTGTGACGGTGTGGGCTGGATTCTACTAGTTCACGATGGGTTCCACTGTCGGACGTCGATGATGAATCGTAGGATTCATTAATGGTGGGGAGTTTGTGGATTAATTGACTGATTGTTACCCTTTCAGAAAGGATTCTGATACATGTATTCGGTCGCAGTGTTTTCCTTGGAAGCAAATATATTTTCAGAATCTTGCATCAAGTTTTATACTGAATTGTGAACGAAATGAAGGCGTTCTTCGCGTTCTATTCATAATTCTGCTTTAAAAATCTACCGATGTGCTTTTGGAAATATGATCTGTGTAGATAGTGATATTTATGTGGGGCGTTTGAGCAAATACCTCATATTAATAACACAAGTAGAGAGATAAATATGCATATAAAATTAATTGCAATGTAGGTAATAGTAATAAGGACTCTGTCACATAATTTCCCTAGCAGACCTGAAGAAATACGTGGAAAGATTTAATTATAATAAGGGTTTCCGCGGTTTTGATCTAGTAACGACCACGCGCCGAACAAACCTTTTGATTCTTTGTAACATGCGCGCTGCATTATGGCGCTTAGACGCATCGCCCTTTCTGCAGGACGGGCAGTGACTCAAGACAGAAATCAATGACGAGAGGTCGGTGAACTTCAGAGCTTGCCAGTCTGCCCCTAGAACTATTTTAGTGCATCATTTCAATTCCCACGATAAGGCTGCTGTCTGTATGTCTGCTCGTTCTATTTCATTAATTTAAGCCTTCTTGACTGAAATGGTGTTGTCGGTGCTTAGGCCTTTCAAGCAGTATCTTCTCTTGCATTAAATTATACGACGACAGTTTTCTCGAAAATCATTTCTCCTCTATGACTTTCATAGTTATTTTACTATAGTGCCTCGTCGAAGGAGTCCTACCAAAATATCTATAGATCGAGCCAATGAAAAGTTGGGACCCGCAGTGCTCAGGCACTTGAAGAACGGGTCGTTCCCAGTATCTATTATAGTGGGATAATTATAATTATTCTGATGGTAGTAAAATTAAAATCGAAAGGATGCTGTAGGAAACTGTCGTAGTGTATTTTAATATAGAGATGTAGAAAATAGACCTAAAACTAAATGGAATTATAATATTAGGACGAATCTTAAATATGTAGAATGTGAGGATGTGGAATGGATTTTGTTGGCTTAGGGGCTGTTGTAAATTGGTAGCTGTCGTCAGGTAACACGAGAGGAAAGGTGGTAAGATTTGAGGTTCTCGCTGTGGTTAGTATGTCGATATTGCCCTTCAGAGCTGTAATGCTCTCTGCACTTGAAGGTAGATATTGACGATTCGGATAAAACTGCTGTCTCCATCTTCAGGGTCTTCTGAGTCTTTCGACTTTCCCCTTCCAGTGTTGGGCAACTGTTTTTTCTTTATTCAGTCTTGTGTCGTATATGGGAAGGTGGATAGACAATTGACTCGTTAGCGGCCAGAATTCCACAGAGACACTCTTACCCCATCTTAAGAATAAAAGAAAGGCGCTAGCTTTTTGATCGAAACTATTCCGAACATGAAGCAGTATTCAGAATGTCAAGGTTCAAAGAATGCACATAGAAACGTCTCCGTCTTTCCAAGCTGTCTCTTTCTACTGCAATATCTTTTAAAGCGATGTGTTTACAGTAGGTGATCAACACATCTCATTTGTACAGTATACTTTAGTTACACATACATGTAAATTAGATGCGATTGTGTCGCTATAAACTAAGACACCAATAAAGAACAAAATAAAAATACAAGGTGCGATCGGAAAGTTTCAAGACTGCGCTTGCTTTAGCATTTCATAGGTTTCCGTAGCCGTTTTGGCGAGTCTTTGGCAAAATTTGATGCACACTCTTTATTCATGAAAATCCGCCATTCCGAAATCGCAGGAGGGTCGGTGTAATGCACTACCAAAACGCCCGTAACTAAGAAACAAATGCTAATTCGATGATGCCGGCTGGCACACTGATTCACTATGAATGTAGGCCGCACCCCCTAGCGGCAGAAGCTCATACTACATCCGGTTCGCCCTCTATTGACACAGTCTTGAAACTTTCCGATCGCACCTCGTAATGGCGACATAAGATTTTATTACGGTAGCAGATATGAAGGAAACGTTGAAGGTTTGTAATAAGCGCTTAACAGCAAACTGCAAAGATACTACCAGGTTTTCAGCTTATTTACGTTTAATATGTTAGAACAATGAAGTTTTTTGTTTCCCTATGAAAGACGTTGTTCCTACATACACACTGTCTGCTTATTACTTTGCAGCCTCATGATTTCTGCAATAGGCTAATAGACTAGGAAACTGGCGTTGATTCGGCTTGTAGGATTATGAAAAAAAAGTACAATCCCTGGCAATGTAGAATGTATACGCAGAAGAAATGCTTGTTGTTTCAAAGCGAAAACTACGGACGTATGGAGCGTTAATGGTGTTGTTAAGCTACGGACTGGATGACCTGAGTTATGTTCCCGGGGATTCTCTTTGGCGCCACACCCAGACCAGATCTGGCGCCTTTATTCAGTTTTCTTCTACTGTTGTGTATGAATTTATAATTTAATTCATGCATGCTACATGTCGCACTCATATTATCCTCATGGTCTGAATCTACCTAAAAACTGTTTATGAAGAGCGCGTGTTATGAAACTCCACAACTTCTCAGGCATTTGTTTTCAAATATTATGAATCTGTTTTCTTCTCGCAAAGATGGAGATGAAATTTGGTAAAATTGCAGTCAAGCTAACGTGGATGTTTGGGTTGTTAGGAGATTGAAAAATAAAAAAAATTAGGCGAGGCACTTTTATGTGTAGACCAACTATAACCGTAAGCTTCATTGTCCTGGCAGATAAACACGGCGTTTGAGAAGTCGACTCTACCCCCATCTTCGGATGATTGGTCACTGTGCCGACAGATTGTCTTTCCTTTTTGATCTTTGTCAGAAAGGGCGGCGGTGGTTTTCGAACCAGGGATCGATTGTGTGGGTGCTGGGTCTGTGCGATGGCCGCTGTACCACCCACCGTCCTCCCGACCGGACTTTGTCTCTCATGAGTCTGCTGTCTGTAGCTACGGAGCTGCTCCAATTCTGTATGTTTATTCAGTGAGGTTTGAGGTTCTCACGGCGGCTAGTACTTATCACATTAGTTGTTATGATTTCTGGGAGAGAGCAGCCATGTCTGAGGCCACCTTCAACAAGTTCTATTCGTCACCAATAGGTGGCATTGCTGTGAGAACGCAATTCAAGAATATTGACGAAAGGACTAATTATTGAGGTCGTGTCCTGATTGCGATACGTCTACAACAGAATTTCGGCAAATTTATTTCAAAATGAATAGGGATTAGGTTACCGCTTATCCCGACTGTGGTTTGTATGAACATGGCTGTCTTCTGAGACCAAACCTTTACTTTTCTAGTCATGGCACATCAGAGACAACAATTTTTACGACGTTTACATCGCTGTTGCAGTTCGTTTGCAGAAAACGTCTGGGATGCGTAAGGAAGTGATCGTAGTCTGTATTAAGATACGATTACAACATTTACAGGAAAGGACTGAGGAAAACCACAAGAACGTAAGTCGGGATACGCGCCCCATGGCTGAGATTTGAAGTCGAAACATCTCGAATGCGAAGAAGTTACAAAGAGTCAACTCCGACT